CCACACGACACCCTCCCCCACGACCTTCTCCATCATGAACCCCTTGTCCGCGTACCCCGTCTCCCGCGACGACACCCACACGACACCCTCCCCCACGACCTTCTCCATCATGAACCCCCTGTCCGCGTACCCCGTCTCCCGCGACGACACCCACACGACACCCTCCCCCACGACCTTCTCCATCATGAACCCCCTGTCCGCGTACCCCGTCTCCCGCGACGACACCCACACGATACCCTCCCCCACGACCTTCTCCATCATGAACCCCCTGTCCGCGTCCCCCGTCTCCCGCGACGACACCCACACGATACCCTCTCCCGCGACTAATCTCCCTTTCGACACGACTCCCCCCCCGCGACCCACCCCGCGACCCCCTCTCCCGGGTTTCCCTTAACCCGCTCTCAGAGTACGATAGTAGATTGCAGGGACGAACGCCTTTTCACAGACAGTCAGGAATTCAGCCCAGAGTATACGCCGCTACTCCATAATGCTTCATGTCTCCGCACAAAGAAAAAGATGCCCTTCTCATAGTATGACGATACTCTCTCTACATGGGACGCACGCCTCAATTTTGGTATTGGGTTGCCCCACGGTATGATAGTAACGGGAGTGAATAATAATAGAAGAGTATGACTCGCTCGAAACACAAGAAATTCAACATGCCCATGTCCAAATTTACCAACATGTTCTGTTTGCATCTCGAACAAATACGACATACGCATAATTATACGCTCTCCTATGACACTATTTGTCATAGGAAGATTCTTTCTATGACAAATATTGGCGAGTTAACTCCGTTCTGCTTTACAGCTGAAATTTACTGCTTGCGTTCATAATAGCGCTCCTAAACTCCTATGATGCGCACAACACATACACTAATATTTGTTATAAGAAGAATCTTCCTATAGATACAAATAGTGACAATAGGAGAGCGTATATGCGTATGTCGTATTTCTCATAGATGCTAGCAGAACAGGCTGAAGTTACCTAGGATTTATCACGTGAATTCCAATAGAAATGACATCAGAACTAACGCTTGTCCTCACACTTTAGGTCGCAGGGAAGCAAGTCTCTGCGCAATTAGAAACGTCACCCAGTAAGAAGGACGTGTCGGAAATAAGGTGCATGTGAAACGCGAAAGTAATCTCCATAGCTCAACGTCATTATATACACGCCGTGGGGAATTGCGAGGGTGGCATGACACCCGCGGGCACGGTAGTTTCTTAGGGGGTTTTCATGCGGCGTTCCACACCGCACTTTCTGCCCGACGTATCTCGAGCGTATATATATATGAAGCTGCTTGCGCACGCACGCAACCACACGCGGTTAATATATAGCTGGCCGAGACAGTACTAAACAGCGCAAGATCCTCTTTGGCTAGAGTGGAGATGCTATATCCGTGTCCGCGTCCGCACGCAGGCGACCCAGTTGTGCAGTTTGCATCGATTTGGTTCGATTGCGGCCCCGCCTCTCGCTCACAGCAGTATGCAGCAGCAGCAGCAGCAGCAGCAGCAGCAGCAGCAGCAGCAGCAGCAGGGAGTCAGTCAATCACGCAGTCGTGGAAACTCGCCGGACGAGATTTGTTGTCGCTGGCGCCATCTTGCGGCGAGCGTAGCGATTCCAGATTGCGTAGCGCGTGCGAAGACGTGTGAATTATCCGATGTCATCTGGTTGCCATCAGCGGGCTTGCTAACAAGCAGCAGGTCTCGGAGTCGACAAGCGTCGATGTAACACCGTGTGCATAAGGAAGCATCACCGTGCCGACGAGTTGGATAAGACAGCTGTCTCGTTAACTCTTGTCATGTCACCACTGATGTTTCCACTCAGCACATTTTTACAAACGGCGTGTGTCACCCACCGTTCCCATCACGTGCACCTGGGCCGCTTCAATAACATAATTGTGGCAAATAAAGGTGGTTTATGTACTCTCTATCGCCAAAAAATGCTACGTGAATTGCGTCCATATGCATGTCCCTCTACAATACACTGTCTCACTGCACGCCCGCTACTGTGCACTAACGCACAGCAAAAATAGTTTCATCCATCCATCCATCTATCCGAATGGTGGAGCTTCACAGTCAGCAACTGTCAAAACAGCCCGCACATCGGCAAAACAAATTGTTATCGAACCGTGTTGCGACTGCGCATACGCGTCCGCACGCATACACACACGCACACACTCACTAACGCACACATACACACACACACACACACACACACACACACACACACACACACACATACATTCCTCTGCCTTTCTCTCTCCCTCTCTCTGTCGCCGCCTTCCCTCCCCCATGTCTACTTCTCGCTCTCTTTCTCTCTCTCTCTCTATGTCTCTCTCTCTCTCTCTCTCTCTCTCTCTCTCTTTCTCGCTCTATGTCTCTCTCTCTCTCTCTCTCTCTCTCTCTCTCTCTCTCTCTCTTTCTCGCTCGCTTTCTCTCTCTCTCTCTCTCTCTCTTTCTCTCTCATTCCTCTGTCTTCTTTCTCTCCAAAGTTAGTGGAGTAACATCGAGCTGTATGGACAGGGAAGCAGGAAGCCGCGTGCTGGGGAAGCAAGATGAGGAATCTCACTAACGCTGAGAGGATCTATGTCCCCCAGGGTACTGCTTGACCGTACCCTGGTACTATCTAATATGCCGGACCGTACCTCGCCTATACTCCACTAACGAGTCTAGGGAGTCGCCTACGCCTACTCCCTAACCCTAACCCTAACTCTAACTCTAACCCTAACCATAGGCCCCCCTATCAAATAGTTACCAGGGAACGTTCCGGTATACTCTAGGGAGTCGCCTACGCCTACTCCCTAAC